GGTTCTACATGCTGTTAAGAATTTCGTAATTACCTGACTTGGCCCTCTCAGTAGTGCTCTTTTGAATGTGTCCAAGAAGGGCTCTGCCTGGCCATTTGATTGAGGGTGATACGGTGGAGATCGTATGTGCACAACCTCATTAACGTTGAAGTGCTTGAATGATTCTGCAGTGAATTGTGAGCCGTTATCAGTCACTAAAGTCTCCGGAACTCCAAAGCAGCTAAACAGTTCGGATAACTTGCTGATTGTTTCACTGGGTGTGCAATTCACCATGGCGTAGATTTGTGGCCATTTTGTGAGTGCGTCTACTATGACTAGATACATTCTTCCCCGTATTGGACCGGCGAAATCTGCATGCAGCCTCTCTCAGGGATTATTCGGTTTTTCCCATTGTTGCGGTTCACACTTGCTTGGACTTTTGGCTGCACGATGAACAATTGCGGCATCTGGTTTCGATATCTTGATCCATCGTAGGCCAGTATGGGTAGCTTCGAGCCAACGCTTTCATCTTATTGATACCAGGATGACCGCTGTGTAATTGTCTCAGAACCTTGTAGCGTAATACTTTTGGAACAATAATTCTGTCACCAAACATAATACATGAGTCGACCATCATGAGTGAGTCCCATCGGCGAAAATACTGTAGCATTTCTCCTTGAAAACGACGGTTCGGCCACTTGGTGAGAAGATAACCACTAACTTCTCTTAAAGTATTGTCATTTTCCGTGGCTTCTTTGATGGCCTTGAAAGCAACTGGTAAACCATCGACTACGTCTTCCAATACTCGATGTACTTCTGTTTCCATCTCGATTGCTGCCACCAAAGTGTCTTCTTCCTGTTTTACTTGTGAACCAATCAGTCTAGGTAAAGCATCAGCTTGTTCAAAATCAGTAGTCGGCTGGTACTTGATCTTGAAGTCATAACCCAAGAGTGTAGTTCCCCAACGTTGCAGTCTGTTTGCTGTGTATACAGGTATACCTTTCTTCGACCCAAAGATGGCTAGCAATAGTTTATGGTCAGTAAATAGAGTGAACTGACGTCCAAATATCATCTTGTGAAATTTCTTGACAGCGAAGATAATCGACAATGCTTCCTTCTCGATCTGACTATAGTTACGTTCTGCTGACGTTAACTATCTAGCTGCATGTGATATCGCTTTTTCAGATCCATCTGGCATGATGTGAGAAATAATTGCTCCAATGCCGTAGTTTGAAGCGTCTGATGCTACTACAATGGGTAAAGATGAATCGTAATGGGTGAGCAGCAGATCCGAGACTAATACTTTCTTGATTTCATTGAAAGCGGCTTGGCAAGTTGCAGACTAATTCCATTTTACATTCTTCGCCAGAAGGTTATTCAAGGGGGCACGTAATTGATGAAGGTCCGGAATAAAAGCTCCACAATGACTAACGAGTCCCAAGAAGGATCGTAGTGTGGGGACATCCGTCAGTCTGGGCATAGTTTTCACTGCTTGGGTATTCTCCGGATCTGGTCTTCTGCCACCTTTGTCGATTATAAATCCAAGGTAGCGTACCTTTTGCATACAGAAGTTACATTTCTCTGGACGAAGCCGAAGTCCATAATCGGCTATTCGCGACAGCACCTGGTCGAACTTCTTTTCTAAGTCTATTCTATCTACTCCCATAATTATTATATCATCTAGATAAGCTGCAGCACCTGGGACATCCTGTAGCATAGTATCCATTATTTGCTGAAATATGGATGGGGCCGTCTTGACTCTGAATGGTAGTCGATTATACCGGAATAGGCCCTTGTGTGTGTTTATGGTACGCAGGTTTTTAGACTCGTCAGCAACAGGGATTTGTAAATAAGCTTCTGATAAATCCAACTTTGCGAAAAGCTTACCTCCATTCAATTTAGCAAAAAGATCTTCAGGTAAGGGTAATTAATGGATACTGATGAGTTTCTAAGGCTTCGTTCAACCCGGTTGATTAGTCGGCACATAAACGGACGCTACCATTAGTCTTCTTTACTACTACTATCGGTGCGGCCCATTCTGAGAAATTCACCGGTTCAATGACACTCAGTTTCTGAAGTCGTTCTAGATCTTGTTCAACCACTGAGAGGGCAGCATATGGTACGGGTCTTTTAGGACGAAACACTGGTTTTGATCCCTGTCGAAGGGTAAGAGCAGCCTTAAATTTAGTGCATTCTCCAAGACCATCACTAAATACCATTTTATGTCGTTATAATAATGCTTCCACTGAGTTTTCCTTATCAACTTTCGACGTACTGACGTTGTTACAGATTGAGTTTATGGGGAGATCTGTTAACTTCAACCTTTATATGTAATGAATCCCCAATATATCGAGTGATGGACGGTCTGTCAGAAATATTATACCCTCCTCCGTGGAGTCTTTGACTGTGACTTCACAATGAATCTCACCATATATATTTGGGATTCCCCCAGATGCACTATGTGCTAATTAATGAGTTGAATTTATTTTCGGTCTCCCAATTTCCTCCCACGTTCTCCTGCTTATAGGCGTTATATCAGAGGCTGTATCTAACAGTATTCGGGTATCATACCCATTAATCCTGAAAGAAACATACTTCCTACGGTTATGGGTGCCAGCTTTGTGAAGAGCTACCGTTACTTTAGCTGTTCGTGGTTTGAAGCTTTTAGAATACACTTTCGGTTGACGGCGTTTTCGGGTTTCGTAATGGCTTTTTTGTGCCATTTTCTGGAACGCACAATACAACGATGCTTTCTAAACGGACAAAACATTTTGAAGTGCCAACCGCCACATAACCATCATGTGGATGATGGTTTGTTGCTTTCATTATGATAAGTCTGAGTGCTGGAACCTTGTGGGACTTTTTTATCGACTACATTGAAATGAAGGAACCGGTTGCCGTTCTCTACCATCGAGGCATCATGCCTCAGATTCACTAACCTTTGGCATTCGGTAGCTACTTCCTGCAGTGTCATGTTGGGGCAGTGTTCTAGTTTGCTTAGGATTCTCGTTCGGATGTCAGCATCCTCGGGTGAACGCAGGCTACAAATAAACACTAGGCATTTAAATTGATCTTCAGTCATGGAAGACAATTCGAACCTCTCACATTTTCGATTCAAAATTCCTGCATCCTTCACCCAGTCATCTCCTGGTTCTTTCGTTATTTTCAAGCATTGATAACGGATATTAAATAGAGATGATTGTTCTGCAAAGATTTGAGACAGGGTTTTAACTGTTTCATCAAAACTAAAGTCTCGTGGATTCTTTGGGAGAATGAAGTTGCTATAGCATTCATGTTCCACAGTCCCAAGTTTTCTCAGAAGTATTCTGACTTTTGAAGAGTCATCCGGTTTGCAAAGATCAATATAAAACAAATCTTCATACTTCTTAAACCAAGAATCAAAAGTTATACATGCTACACCATCAAAATTAAATTCGTGGATGGCATTAATGATTGAATCAGTATGGGATATTTGTGATTCACCGGAAGCAGAGTTCTGCTGGGACAGGCAAAATCTCTGCATCATGGCTTCCATGATTCTGATTTGAGATTGTTCAAACCTCTTTTCTTGAACACGAGAGAGAAGACTCAAAGTATACGAAAAGTAGTTTACTCCAAGGTTCATTTTATTACAGAAAATATAGGGTTTTTATAATATTTTAAATGTTCTTGGGTCGCTGGAATATTCTGGAGTGCTACTAAATATAGTAGCACTGTAGCAGCCAACCAGTCAGAGCCTCTGCATGTGACGTTTCGCTTCTTTGATATTTCTGGCCAAGACTCCAAGTGAACGCTGATAGGACGAAACGCTTCTTAGTGTTTCCTGATGCTTGCTTGTCTTTTGCAAGCAATTTTCTGGATCACCCCAACATAGACCTTAACCAACCCCTTCCTTTCATCGTAGGAAAGCAGTATTACTGAAGCTGCTGACTGAGTGAGGGTAACTCCTTACTGTTGTAACACTCCAGTACAGTCAACAGTACAAATTTGCACTAGGATTTTGAGTCATATCGTACTCCAACCGACCTGCATAGAATTATAGAACCTAAAGGAATAAATGTTCTAACTAATATAACTTAACCAGAGGTTTTTATAAGAGGCAAGCCCGGCCACTATATCAAGCAGCAGCTACGAGCCGAGCGATTTCGATAACACGTATTATAACCAATTAAACTATTGTTAATGTATTCTTTGGAAAAACTCAGAATGATGTAAATAAAAGTGATGACAGTAACAGTTGCTCAAGCTTTCAGGGCAATTTCTGATTACTTAGAACTTTATCAAGAACTATAGTCGTCATGAAACAAAACTTTATCATAGATATTTTCAAATAGTTTTTTTTCACAAAATAAAATTGAATGAAGCATCACTGAAAATCGGCAAACACTTAGTAATTGTTCCACCCTGGCTTGGGAACCATCCGTCATGTCCACCACTCCTGACTCTAAAAGAAGTCGAACACACCTAACCTCACGGAGATCACATTACCTTTAAGCAGTTGAGTTAAAATCTAGTAGTCCAAATTTCTAACTTCCATCAATTATTGATATGGTATTACGATTATTCAATATCATCAGTGATACTTGCCACATACCCACTCTATAGTTCAACTCTATCAATTATGATTTCCCACTAGGATGTCTAGAATTTATTATGAAGTTAGTTATTAATGAGCGCATGATTACTGTTTAGTTGGTTGGTTGTTGAGAATAGTTTGTATGATTGTAGACATTGTTGAGACAAACTATCACAGGCTCTGATCAATCCTAAATTTAAATACATCGATTAGTCTATTTTCGACTGATTAGCCCTAGTAGACAAATCAAGATGCTTGGAAATTCTCATGTAAATTTGATGATAACTCTAACGCTATTACGGATTTGTTGTTGGAGTGAACATATGGTTTGCTCTCGATTCACTTTTGGAAGAATTAAGCGAAGTACGGCGTTCAGACAAATTTTGTAAAAAATAAATCCATGCTCTTTAACTTCAGAGACAAAATTATTCAATATAACACTTACATCACTAAGATACCGGATAAGTGAACATTCTGATCCATCGATTCCTAACTCAACATAACATGAATGAGTTCCCCAACGGGTTCGCAACCACTAGTAAAGCAGAATGAAAATAGTATCCATTTAATCATTTATTTTTTTTGGAGAATATCATCTATATTAATGGGTAACTGAACTTTGATGAGTTCTAGACAACCAATAAAAAAACCTTCAAACGGGTTGGTTTGCAAATATCAACAACCAATTAGATCCTCACTCCGAGCCACCACTTAGTCAGGTGACAAAATTGTAACTTGATCAGTAAAATTTGATTAGTACAAACAACCACATAAAATGAAAATGGAAAACAATCAGCGATTGACTAGTGTATATGAGTGAACATGAAGGTTTTATTGAATTCATTAGATTGCTTGTATCAAAAAGAAATACAACTACAAGGTTAACAATAAGAATACAAATGGCTGTTCCAAGTTAATAAAACGTGACTAACTGTTGAATGCTAGTTGTGAGAAGTTTAATCGAATAATGAATGGAGAGATATAGCATGATAGGTGATATATTAGACCAAAACATAACCTTAAAGATTATTTCAAATCACCGGCCACCAATTTCTGAAAATGTTGCTATATTTTCTAGGGGAAAAAGATTTACATTTATGAATGAGTCGATCTAGATTTAGTCAATAAAGCTTCCTCCTCGCTCAAGTGGCTGGTTCGAACTTATATCAGTAGTAGGCTAGAACGGCTGCAAAACATAATGAGAAAATCAGACTTGTTAATAGTCAGAAAATACACTGGTTTTTTACTGTTAAGAAGTCGTATTACACAAGACAATTGACTAGATGCAGCAGTGAAACTCCTAAACTTCGTACAGGCAATGAACCAAATGTAAACGATGAACACATTAACCAGTTGTCGAAAATTTAATAATAATAAATGCTTAAAATGACTACAGAATGTAAGCTAATTTACAGACATAATCGGGCTGATGCAAAACGGAGAGTCGTAATAAAAAGAAAACTTGAGTACATTGTTTTGAACAGAAATGACTCATAAATTATTTTGACAGAATATCTGTGGTAGAGTTGTGAATAACGTAAAGCATAAAATTTATGGAAAAGTGCATAATCACGGGTGATTTCACTTTAATGTACAGTATTATTGACGACTTACACACCGTCCCAAGTATTAAAAGGATATAGTTGTCACTAATAAGCATTCTATGATAAATAGTCACATGTACTAAGATAGAATATCTACAATGTTATAGGGGTTTTAGGATAGCGTATGTCATATATTTTTTCACGAAAGGTACACTTAGCATTTTATTCGCTATAGTGTAGCTTGAATTTTTAAACTACTTTAGCATTCGACATTGAATTGAAGCCTTTGTAGTTGTTATTGGGCAACGATTTATCGTGAGATGGTATAGTACGTTTAATTTTCTGAAGAGAACCGAATTCGATGAAGCAACACAATTACCAGTAAAAAGGTCCAACCACGTTATTGAATTATATTCATGATTGTAACAGATTTATCGATACTTGATATTCTTAAGAAGCTGTCATATTTGTTTATGAAACCACAGAATAAATTAGCTTTTCGGGTCAAGTCTTTCTTTTTAATAAAAGGACTGAAATGTCAACGTTATTAAAAGATCAAATAAAAAGAGTTGTTCAAGACTCAATTTATTTGTTGAAGTTCAGTGTACAAACTAATGGGATATAGTGCCCAATAAATCATTATATAGATGCGTACAACTGTTTTATCTATCGAACATAACGAAATTGACCAAAACAAACATAAAGCCTAGTGTGGAAACAAACTTTATTACAAAGCATAAGTTTCCTATCATCTTTCAAGTGAAATGTTAAAATACCAACACACTAAAACGTAGATTTAATGAAGATTTGTAGTGAAATGTTGTTATATCCGAACGAAGAATAAATGAATTACAACTTCTAGGAATTATTTATGGATTACTATTACATATATTCTGATTGGATAAGTATTAAGTACCTAAATTATATATATTCTGACTGACGATTTTGTCATATGATATTTGGTGGACCATAGGACATAACAAATGTAAATTGATAAACCAAAAGAAACATTTTGAGAATGGAAGATATGAGATAAGCTACATTATCAATCATTACCAATTCAATACTTAACAACACAAAAGCAAACGGGAAAACAATCACCATTTTTTCCAAATTTATCTTTAGTTTATTAGAAGTATGAAAAAAATTATTACATGAAAAGTATTTATGTTTGTGAAACGCAATCTTTAAGAGAATACGGTAACACCACTTATCAAAGAATAACAATCTGAAGAATCCAATCTCAGGTGCACTTAGCAGTAGACAAACATAAAAATCCTTAACCTTCAAACTCCTAAGCAAGTCTTTTTAAAAATAATTCTGTTGCTGGCCTTGATGTCACGTTTACAACTATTGAGCTCGAGGTTAAACTTACCCGTCCCAACCCCGCCTTACCCTAGGCAGGCATCTTATGTCTTGAGGACCCCTGATGAATATCACGTGACAAGTCACTAAATAGAATCCTGACTCTAGTTCGGTTTATTTCGCGCCTAGTTTCTCTGACTTGTCCAATTGCATACCCACTCAGCACCATTAAACTCGGGTCAATAGCTAAGTTCCTATTAGTCCATTATTGACAAGTTTCTATTTATGCCCTACTCATGAGTCGAAAAATCAGTAACCAGTTTCTATGATAAGTGGAATATATATATATATACATATATAGTAATCTAGTTACAACAAAATTATAATTAGTAATAATCCAAAAAAAAAACCAGTTCAAACTTCTGCAGTATTTGTTTCATTATAACGAACCGGATGACTGATAATATAAAATTTTACTTGCTACCATGTTTTATTACTTCAAATTGTAAAACTATAAACTTGAATTATTTCATAAAAACGAAGCATATTTACAAAACTTACTTCAATCTTTGAAAAACATTCCGGGTATAGTGGTATTTCTCTAGCTTGAACAACACAGTTTTCTTGTGCACCTTGTAGAAGATCTGAAAAATCAAAGCAATGAGTAAACAAACATAACTCAAAATAAACTTTTGAAAACTACAGACTATACATTTTTTTATAAAGACCGAAAAAAAATCAGTTACATTAAACTCTTACTGAACTCCTTTAAGGGAAATAAACCACTGAGTAATAGCGATCATTTCATGGATATCGACTTGGAGGTTCGCACTTCCCCATATGGCACGGGGCAAGTATTCGTTGATATCATGAACTGTTATATCTTACACTGGTGTACTTAAACTTTTTTAATTTGTCTATTTCAGCCTAGCATGTCTCATTTTCTTTATTTAGAGTAGAAATTTATGCATCAGTGATTCATTTTCTTTTTAAAAATATAGGTGAATAATTAGTTATCACTCATTCATTGTTTAGTATGGCTTATGTTCCCACTAGGAAGTATGTTTAGAGCAGTATTCCTACAGTTGAAGAAAAAATGGAACTTAAAACAATTGCCAACCAATATCAGTGTCAGAATCTTCAATATGAATATCAGAACAGTTCTACTGTACGGAGCTGAAAATTGGAGAACTAGTACAGCTATCACCAAAAAAGTACAAGTATTTCTATACAAGATACTCAATGTCCGTTGACCGGATACCATCAGCAACAGCCTACTGTAGGAGAGAACAAACCAACTTCTAGCTGAGGGGGAAACTAGGAAAAGATGCTGCAAGTAGATAGGATATACATTGCGAAAATCATCAAACTGCATCACGAGGCAAGCCCTAACTTGGAGTCCTGAAGGGAAATGGAAAAGAGGAAGATTAAAGAACATACTGAGTCGAGAATTGGAAGCAGACATGAAAAGGACGAATAGGAACTGGAAGGGACTGTCCAGGACAGTGTTAGATGGAGTGTTAGTGGGCGGCCTATGTTCCTCCATGGGGATTAACAGGAAAATATGTTTATTTAGTAGACATATCACAAATTGTAATATAGGTTTAGGTATCATACAAAGTAAAAACAAACTCATAAACTAATCAAGAGAGCTTACCCAAATAGTTAATTTTCTTGTAGTTTGATTTCTCATTATTATTCATTTTCAAACCTCGAGCAGTATGAGGTACAAATGGTGACGAGCTTATAGATTCGGAATAATGTCTAGTTACTTCAGGAGATGAGTTCGTTAAATTAGAGAGTTTTGATTCTATCTGGTCAATACGACGTAGCACGTCGTCTAGAATAACGGCCAATGTTTTCTTTAAGTCTGAAAACAGGGAGAAAAATATAAGTGGCCCAAAGATCAATTGAAACTAATCACTTATTAAATTTAGTCACTTTAAAAAAGGTATAAAATATCTTTACATTTGAAGTAAACGTCAACGTACAACCACTGAAATCGAAAGGAACACAAAGTAACTATCCTTTAGAATTCAACTATCTCATTGATACAACCTTATATTCGGAATCGTCGTGATCTCTCAGCTATAAATATTTTTCATTGCTTTATAGCTGAATACAAACTCGTGTACTGTTTGTAGAACCACAGCTTAATATTTGAAGACTAGTGTAACTACGCACTAGGACCAATTTTAAAACAGTCAATCAAATCTTAATCATTAATTTCATAGATCTCCATAAATTAAGCATTAAAAATGTATTTTGTTTTAACAGGGAGAAAAAGTTAACTAACCGTCAATCAGTGAAAGTGATTCTTGATAATTTAGAAAATTATAAGCAAATCTTACAGTTATTACTGATCTTTTCTAGGTCGAATTGAGTTTCATTTGATTAGAAAGAGTGATTATACTTTCTAATGGAAACTAAATGACGTACAAGAAACGTAGAATGTTGCAGAGGAACTTTCATTTGACTAAATTTGTGTCTATTATAAAAATGAGGAAGAACAAGCACATTAAGTAGATTCTTTTCACTTGTCTTCTTCCATGATCTGTAATTTTAATTCTAAGTAACTGTTTCCCTTTGGAAAGAATCCAATACACAGATCATAAAATTATTGAGAAAAATAAAATACCTAGGATTCATATAACGAATTTACACTGAACGTACAGTAGATTCAAAGTGTTCTGACTAATGGCAGCGATTCGGTAATACCCATCGATATCAAAACCCTTTCACCTTGAAAGGAATACTAGGAGAGAGTTATCGATTTCTCTACCGTATTGATGACGCAAATTTTCTATAACATACAAGGTTTATCATCTCTTAACAGGTGGAAGAAAGAATGATAGTGTAAATAGTATCCGCAAATTTAACAAGGACGTTTTTATACATGGAAAACTTAAATCCACGGAATACTATTACATACACATCAGATCCTATCATGATTTGGTGATGAGATATGTCAAATAATGATGATTCTAATATGAAAACCCATTAAATGTATTAAGAACATGAATTTATTGGATTAACGATGAAATTAATAAAAGCACAATTTACTGACTTGACAGTAAGGTACATACCATATCCCGTCAACTCTGCGCTGTAAGGATCATCGAAACCCACATTCTGAGTTTCGGCCAAAGCTTTGACATACTTTCGGGAGAGGTTAATAATATCAGCCTATAAAATATCAAAGCATATAATGTCAATCTTTTTTACAATATAATAAGTCAAAAATATGCGTAAATTTTTGTGTATTGGTACTTTCAATTGATAAACATATGGTGAGAATTATATTCTAAAATCAAAAGAACACTGTTTAAAAGCTCGCCCACAACTTCAAGCAAGATTAAACAGTAAGTATGATAGTATACATCAATGAACAATACATTTTCAGCAAGAACATTAGAGATGTCTACAGAAATCTGTCTTCCGTTTCACTCTTCTTGAGTACGCGGTCACAGATGTAACTTTTTGACATATTTATTCTCTAAAACTAATTTGACTATCAGATATACTTCTAAATAAATAATAGTCAATTAGGATGAAATCCAACCAACTAAACTTTTTTGTCTCCTATATGTGATAAACTGGTCTTCTATTAGCTGAGCAATTATTAATTATTAACTGATTTTGGGGTGTCAATAACATAAGAAGTCAGTTCTATACCAAAGACGCGCAATATAAATTTAGTAAAAATGACATCTAGCAAGTACAAGTAAAATATTGATGGTGAATGGATATAGTGTGCTAGAATAAGACCTAGAATCTAAACCCTTGTTTACTGAAGAATGAGAGAGCTATAAAATTGATTTTTACTGAAATCAAGAACCAATCCAAGTTAAGCCACCATCGAAAACCTGAAAGCACCGGACGGCCATTTCCTTTCACTATGGGACTCCTCAGCAGTGTACATCCATGACACCGTACCAAAAAGCATCGAACACAGGACCTTCGGTTTCGGGAGAAAAAGCTTAACATCTAGATCATTGGGCTGGCATTCAACAATTTTAATGTCTCACTTCAATTAATCAACGATATTACGTGACCTTCTTCCGTTGTCTTCGGTAGGTAACTGCCCCACACGCAACACGGTCGAACTTCACTAGTCAATGAAACTTAAAAAAATTCACAGATCTATACCGAAAATTGGTCTTGGCCAATGGTTTGTGACACATCATTATATCACATGTGTGAGTATTTTGTATTTATTTATTTGAACACATAAACATTGATACAAGGGGGCACCAATTCATATGTGCCACATAATAACAATAAGACCAGTAGCAGTTATCACTGCTTTGTGTGAGCGTTGGAATACTACCCTAGCACCCGAACCAAAACAGGTAGTTTTCTTAGGGAACCACATTTCGAGCCTTTGACCTAAAGGTCTAACCCACAAGGCAAAAGAGCAACGTTAAGAGGAGCAGTCCAATGGTAGCCAGTGACCAACAATAGGTTCACACGCCATTTGTTCTCTAAGGATTCTAGAGCCCATGTGCACCATTGGCTTGAAATCAAGGTTTTCCAACTCCCCTAGGTGGATTCTCCGTGTCCACTAACCCGGTTGACCTGCTGGATATTCGCTTTTACACATCTCAATTTTGTAAACGATACCCCCTCCGCGAGAAGGCAGTGAATAGGACTTACCTGGCAGTGGCTGTATACGCGAGGTCATGTGGGAGCATTTCGAGAGGGCGAATGGAATCTGCCCACCCTCGATCGTACCAGGGCATTTGGAGGCATTTTGTATGTAACCACGTTAGCTTATTACAATAACTTATTCTTCTGGCTACTGGTCTTGTCTATGATCACAAATCATTCGAGGAGGGAGACAAACTTCAACAATTCGGTCTTGTGAGCAGTCATCATTTAAACATGTCATATTTTTTCATATCGTGTTTTGATCAGATGTCTATTCGTTTATTTTAACAATCGCAACTCTCATTCACTTATTAAATCCTATTTAGTAACGCGAATAGTTGACAGTTAGTGATAATATAAGCACAAAAATATATACAGAGAGGTGAAGGACCTCCCATTAGATATTCTAGAAGTTGTATTCCCAACAAAATCAGAAAAGCTAATATAGGCGGATAAATGTGAGCTCTTGTGAAGTCAGTGATTTAAATTTATTGCTCAAAATTAGTAAATATGAGCATAACTGTTTAAAGGTTCATGTTATTTAATTGAAATTTAAAAATATTTCTTCGTCTAAACTATTTTGTTCTAAAACGTTGAACAGAAATGTTGATTTAATGAAGACCAACGTCTCTTAAGAAGATTACGTATTTAAGTAATGTTTACATTAATATAAAAATAGCGATTACACATACACCAAAAGAAAAAGCGTGTTATCAAAATGACAGTTTCTAGTCTTAAATTCTTGAAACCGATTGGCATATAATTTTTTGTTGCTTTACGATCACCTTTTCCTATAATCATCTCAACTAACTTCAAAATCTGTTCTCCATATTTACAGTACTTTACATCGAATTGTGTGATGACATGCCATAAATTTAGTTCAACCTTAAGAAATTTTGGAAAGTGATATATATAATACGCTACACAGGTTTACCAATGTTTTTGGCATAGTTTCCGATGTTCAGTGGGGGTGATTCTGTGATCTAAATACTTTGGTTTCCATAATAAACTATAGCGAAGTTTCGAGTGGTTTTTTTTTACTAAAATTACAGATTGTAAGCATTTTATTCTGAGTGTTTAGTTTATGAAATTGAAAGTGAATGCTCATATATAAAACAGTAAACGCTATGACGAGGAATCAATATACGCTAGAGGGTAAAACAGTTTCTTTTATTGAAGTTTATGAGTCGTGAAAATTCAGCATTCTGAGTTATAGCTAAATTTTTCTTAGGATTACATTCTAACTAGAATTACTCGCTTTTTTCATGGCTTCAGTCTCTGCGATCAAACGTTGCGCTGTTAAGTACTGATCCTAAAGTAGAGTTCCTTGTGAGTTAAGAGGTACTGTATGAATCTCTATAATAAGACTAGGGTAACACCGCACTCCCCTTTTCGAGATGTATCTAGTGACCCTTAAGTATATTGTATAAATGACGATTTTGATTTTATTCTAGGTATCACATGTCATGTTTTCATTAAATCGAGTGTCTTAAATGTTTCAAAGTTGGTGTACTTTCTTGATTGACCAATTCAGTAACTAAGTATAGGTTTATGTAATAAGAATTGAACTATAATAATTTCTAGGACTAGAAATAATACATGACTGTTTGTGACAAAGATGAAATAGAAAGGGGTCATATCATTTTAAAAACAAACGATGAGCCACAGTTCTCCATGAAAATCTTATATAACCAGTATACACAGTTATTTTAGTCCGTCAATAATATGATAAATTCAACACAATCCTTAAGTTTCAAAACATACTTAATACAACACAAATAAAACGTACCCGATATTGTGCAATAGATTGATTACCGTTATTTACCAACCAACATACTCCAAATAGAATAACGAGAAAGAAACAGATGCACAGAACACGAGCTTTTTTTAAATACCGTTTCATCGATTAACTGAAAAATAAAACCGGTTTTCCATAATGGAATAAAAAAGATGTAAGCTCATAGTTGTAACTCGTGAACAGAAAGCATATTACAGTCACAGAATGAGTATGAAAAATATATCCTTACCTAACTAATTTACATAGATGTTAACACATAGGAAATTAATCGTACAGACTTAGTTACAGCTAAACGCATCGATGATGCATGTTGACCTTCACGCCATAGCAATAGTGAATGCATGTAATTCACTGGATTTATATTAGGTGAGTCCATTTACTAAAAAATCGCCGGCTAAATATCATAAAATAATGCGTGACTATTTATTACTCTCAGGAAAATAAAATACAAAAATTATTTAACAAAATACGGCCAACGGTCTACTAGGTATATGACTATTAGGAAACACAAATCAAAAGTCACTGGCATATTTTTTTCAGTTAAATATCAGACTAGATTCTTAAACATCAAGTTACTGAACTAGTATGATTTGAGACACTAAAGATGAAGAATGCGTTTGTATGCTCTAATTATTAGAAGACAGCGTTGTTAAACAAGCTCTGAAGAAACTCGCAAAAAGGATAAACGTTTTACCAAAATTTTAATGGTCGAATGTTCAACTTTGGAACAGTTTTGTTTTTTTATAAAAATGTGTTAAAACTTAAATGTTAGACCCTTGGAGACATTAGCTGTTGACTGATTGCTCAAAGTGGCCTATATTTCATTCCATAGTTAAATGTAGAATTTTATTTGTGCAGTATTCAGTCACTTCATTTATTTGTTTTATTTGAACACAAACATTGGTACAAAGGAAACACCAAATACATATGCGCCACACAATAACAATAAGGTTAAGATACAGAGAAAGTGCGTATAATTAAAAAACGACGAACAGAAATTAATGTATGAGTGAACCTATCAATAATAATAATAATAGTGAGAGAAAGAGTTTAACTAGCAAAAATAACTAGGAAGAATCCTTTCAATTAAAGAAGATACGTTGATTTTTTATGAAGAAACAAGTTACAGCAGGATCGCCACTGAATTATATTCTGAGTCATACCTGCTAACGTCTTAAGCCACTGTGTTGCACCATCGTCGTGCCCGAACGCATGATACCGGACCTCTGCACTACTAACATGTTGTTGCCACTGTATGTCAGCGATCCTTGGAAGACAACAATGATCAAACACAGATAGTCGTCTGACATTCTCAATTCAGAGAGGCCAGGTTTCACAAGCATGCTCTCACCAACGCGTTGTAGATCCGACCTTTTGTAGCCAGACTATACATTGTTTCTTTATTATTTTAACACATAGATATTGGTACAGGGAGGCACCAAACACATATCTCATTTGATATGTGTGAGGGTTGCGATACTGTCCGGGTGCTCAAACCGAAGCAGGTGGTTTTCTTAAAGAGCTGCACCCGGAGCATTTGACCTGAAGGTCTGATCCACAAGGCAAAAGAGAAACGTAAGGAGATGCAATCCTATGGAAGCCAGTGACCAACAATAGGTTCACACGCCATTTGTTCCCTAAGGATTCTAGAGCCCATGTGCACCATTGGCTTGAAATCAAGGTTTTCCAACTCCCCTAGGTGGATTCTCCGTGTCCACTAACCCGGTTGACCTGCTGGATATTCGCTTCTACACATCTCAATTTTGTAAACAATACCCCCTCCGCGAGAAGGCAGTGAATAGGACTTACCTGACAGTGGCTGTATACGCAAGGTCATGCGGGAACATTTCAAGAGGGCGAATGGAATCTGCCCACCCTCGATCGTACCAGGGCATTCGATGGCCAGTTGTAGACAAAGTAGAGCCTGGTACATAAGTGCATCGGCTCAAGGCATCACACCACCACACTGATGCCATAGTAGTAAACGTGGTAACAGTATTAGTGGTGATAGGAAATGTTAGGCATAGAATATATGAATTTAGAAAATACAGATTCGTGAGACAGAAAAACATTTTAAAATAATTTACAAACTTAAGATTTAAATGAGCGAAAGAAATGAGTGCACATGTTCCAGTGGGGACGTTTCCATGTTATTTAATCCAAGATTTCTAACCAATGGTTGAGATAACCATGCGAACCTCAACTGGAGATTCCGAACCTACCTATGCAGCTCAGTCCAACCTCCATCGACTTCATGGACTGATATCAAGTTTTGGTTTGGTCACCCCTACCTTACACCATCTGTCATCAAGAGTTTAGGTAAGCGGTGGTTGGAGATACGTAATACATGTCCTAATAACTGTGGTCGATAAAAATCCATTGCTTTACGTGTTCCACTAGTGACGGAACAGAAAACAGAAAAATACAAAGTGCGGCCTGGTAATGACTCTTACGTTTAAATTACCACACTATATTAACACGACAAGAAATCAACAGAAAGTAGATAAGTGTAATTAACGGTGCCAATTAGTGTTAGTAATGGCCTTGGTTCTCTGCAAGTTTAGAAGCTTGTACAAAGAAAAACTTGTTAAGCGCTCTGTAGATTACTCAAAATGCTTATACTTGTACATAAACCAAAGGACTAAAAGAAGAGGAAATATCCCAGCATTATGGAGAGTAGTGTTGCATCATTAGTAGAAGACGATCATGGTAAAGCTCAGGTATTCACATATTACTTTAGCAATGTATATACAGTAGATATTCTCTCCTATTCGGTTCATGCAAAATCCAAACACACTAGACACTGTGACAATCAAAGAACTCGATATATATGGTCTATTAAATGAGCTTGATATAGGAAAATCCATGAAACTTGATAAAATACATCTTAGGTTACCAAAGGAATTAACAAATTTTGTCGTGATTCCTTGAAGCATATGTTTTAATATATCTATAACCCAGGGTCGATTACCAAAACAGGTTATTCATGTCTCACTAACTTATTAGTGGCTTGTGAAAGCTGGTGCGCTCTTAAATACCAAAAGTCACCTATAGATACAGCCTACATTGACTTCAGCAAATTTTTTGACAGAATTCCTCACAATCGGCTGTTATGTAAGTTAAGAAATGTCAGGGTTGGACGCAATCTATTGATGTGGGCACCAACGAAGAGTACGAGTGGACTCAAAGTTGTCTAGCTGGGAAACTATGTTTAGCTGAGTTATTCAGGGTACAATTTTGGGACCATTGTTGTTCCTTCGATATGTAAATGGCCTACCTAGTTTCCCATAATCATCGGTTTTGTTCGATGTTGATATCAAGATATGGAAAGCGATAAATAGTAAGGGCGATAGCTTGGAGCTTCAAAATGATCTAAAGGAATTATCTCAGTAATCTAAAATTCGACAGCCCCGGTAAATGTTTTTGTGTGCATTATGATGTATATTAGTCAGTTTTTAAATTACTTAGTGATAAATTTGCATCTGATATGCTCTCACTTTTCTTGTCTTCAAAAACAGTGTTTACAAGGACACTCTGAAGACGTCCACAAGCACAGAACAAATTAATTGGCAGCTATCGACTTTCTCAACGAATGAAATTCATTACATCAACATGTCGGGCTCAGTGGTTTATATAGGTCGATGGACCTCCTATCCTTATTACTGAAGACTGGAACACGTAATTGGAGCTCCATATTTCGACAAGTTGGACGAACTGAGAGACCATCATTGCTAGGACTAAAACAGGCTACCTAGACTCCTGTTCTTTTAGAAATGAACTGATCTGAACAGAAAACTAGATGAAAGTTGATTTGATGTGATGAAAAAGTTGGAAGAAAACAACTACACGTGTAGTTGTTTCCTAAGTACTTAGGAACCGAGTGGAAAAAGTTTCCCCGATTTGGAGTTTCCCTTCTAGAACTAAGATTTGATGTCCTTAGGTATGTGTTTGAAGGAATAACAACGGACATAAAGTTAAATAATTATAGTTATTATTATTATTAATGAGTGGTGAAGAAAAACTAGTTAATTCAACTCTACACACTCCTGGTTGCCTACATTTAAATCAGAATATTTTTTAACTTCTTGCAATTGTTGCCGACCGACAAACCAATATGTAAACACTCGATCTGATGCAACCCTGAAAATCAATGTGATGATCCTTTAATACTTCGCTTTCCTACTAAGGATCTTCGACTTATTACGCATTTTGAGTTTTTAGCAACTAAGCGGTATAAAGTAAAATAAAAACGAGGTAAACAATGGACTGACATGTACCTTATCCTTACAATCTGAATAACCAAACTGTAGCGCATAACAACTAATAAATTACACCGCGCTATTTAAAAAGGACAGTGGTATTTTTCCTCGCTGAGTAAATTTGTTTGTTTTGATCGTTTATTACGTATCAAGACTACTGTTTTCGCTTTAATTGAATTTATTTCAGTTAAAGAATTTGACTAAAGTATCGTTTTTACTGTTTTGTCGTTGGTACTCTTGAGTACCTCTTATTCAACTGTATCTGTTAGTACTTTTGGTCCTAGCAATCTACAGCTCTTCACTTTTGGTCATTGATAACTGTTTTTTTTTGTTTCTGAGTATCCTCACAGTTTAAAAAAAGAACCCCTCTTAAATGACCGGACAGTGTAAAAAAAGTAGTTGTCAACGTCCCGGTTGTCGCTATCCTGTTGAAAGCGGGATGCAGTGCGACGAGTGCAAAGGCTGGTACCACGAAGTCTGCACGAACTTAACGCCTGCTTCTTTCAAACGGTACAGTAAAAAGGGTTGTCTGTGGCTTTGTCAACAGTGCTGCTCGGATGCAAACAGCTTGCTAACCGAGGCCATCTCACTGGTTGATGTTGCAAAGAAGTGCTTTAGCAAGCATAGTCGGAACGCGTCAAGCAGCACTCGATCTGTCGACACGCAAATCAACGTGAAGGAAACTAAGGTTAGTCCGATGGTAGATGACTCAAGCCTGTCAAAGAAGGAAAAGCAGTCTCTAAAGAGGCCTGCCTTAGACAAAAGCTCAAGAAAAGTAGGGTCTTCTGTTCCCCGTCTCCCAGATGGGATCCAACAGGAAACACCTAGAAGCCGCAATCGCAAGGCTCGATCGGTTTCAAACGGTAAACATAACACAACCCATCAGGTCGTCGGCAACCCCCCAAAACCCAACACTGAGTTTGACGCAACTGTTATTGCTTCTACCAGCACCGTTGAGGAATGGGTAAAGGTTGCGAGGAAGAGAAGTAGGGATATAAAAGGGAAACCTGCTCCCGTAAAAGTGGTTGAAAAATCGAAAGCTGATCATAGCGACAGATCAGCTATTTTTCATAGAATCAAGGAGAGCGATAGCTCTGAACCTAAAGCTCGTTTTGAGCATGACATTGTACTGATTAGGCAGCTGCTTAATCAACTCATGCCTCAAAATATGACCGGGGTCACCTTGCTAAAGTTGTACAGACTAGGGAGTCTAACGGACTCGAAACCAAATCATTCCAGACTGCTCAAAGTAGTATTCGGCTCTTCGAACGAACGTGACCAAATTTTACAAAATGGGCACGAATTAAAGGGCTCAGGAGTCTTTATTCGAAAGGACCTACCGTTGGCAGACCGTGTTAAAAGACGGGAAGCCGAGAAAGAACTACAACATAGGTTAGAAGCTGGCGAAAAAGACCTGAAAATTGTAAATTTTCGGGTTGTAAGACTTCGACAGAGAATGATGCCGAAGCCACTCTGGGTGAAACACGAAGGCACTTAAACAGGCTTCGGATCTGTTACACCAATGCACGAAGCTTACTTAATAAGCGATCGGAACTAGGTGTACAGATTGACTCTACAAAGCCAGACATAATCGCAGTAACAGAAACCTGGCTGACACAGGCTATAGATAGTATAGAACTTGATTTCGAGGGCTTTACGTTAGTAAGGGCCGACAGAACACAAAAGCGCAAAGGAGGGGGAGTAGCTCTATTCATTAGGAATGCTATCCCATTTACCATTGTCGACAGTGTATCTCATGAGAGTGGGACGTGTGATTTAGTTAGTCTTCGCCTAAAATGCAAGGGACAAGAGCTGCTGATTGGTTTGGTCTATCGCAGTCCAAGCTGTGAGGCAAATGAGATCCTATTAAGCAGTCTCAATACTTGGTCCCAAAGTGGTCGATGTCTAATCCTAGGGGACTTTAACGCACCTATGGTAGACTGGGAAAATCTGCGAATTAAATCGTCGGAGAATTCTTTCGAGCAGGAACTAGTTGATGGGATTATCACATGTGCTCTAGTACAACATGTGAAAGAAGCGACAAGGTACGATCCGGACACTGAATCATCCTTATTAGATCTTATACTGACTCACTATGAGGATGATGTTGCGAACCTCCAACATATGCCACCCTTAGGTAAAAGTGACCACGCAGTTTTAACTTTCGACTTCCATATAACTGTCAGTCATGAGGACGCATCAGTCCAGTCCAGACCCAACGTCTGGAAAGCAAACATACCAGCCATCATGCACTCAGCATCGTTAATAGATTGGACAATAGACCCAGAGTCCTCCATTGAAACGGCCTGGGACGCATTTCGAAATTCATACTTAAAAGTAACCACACCTCACATCCCTTGGACTATACCAAAGGGGCCGAAAAACTCTCCGCCATGGTTCAGTAGGGAGGTCCGTATTCTTCTCCGTAAGAAAAGGAAGATGTGGGATAGATTTAGGTTACTGGGGACTGATGAGGCAAAATCTCAGTATCGAAAGGCTCGGAACACTTGTGCCTCGACCCTCCGTAAGTCTAGAAAATTGTACGAAGAAAAACTTGTAAAGGAATCCATAGAATGTCCTAAACGCTTGTATTCCTATATAAACCAAAGGACAAGGAGAAAAGGAAATATTCCTGCTCTATGGGGAGACAGTACTGCTTCATCATTAGTGGAGGACGACTTTGGTAAGGCTCAAGCGTTCTCGAACT